GGGGGGGGGGGGGGGGGATGGAAGGGGTGGGGAGAGCTTAGTGTACTTGAGTTAAAAACATGAGATTATATGAAAATGAATACATGTCATATAAATATTTATATTTTTTCAGATTGCAAAGCTCTTAGGAAGTGGAAAAGTTGTTGGCATTTGTGGGACTGACGAAAAGTGTGCATACATCAAAGAATTAGGGTTTGATGAAGCAATCAACTACAAGACAACCAAAGACATGAGTACTGCTCTTAAAACTTGCTGTCCACAAGGTGTTGATATGTACTTTGACAATGTGGGTGGTATCATCAGTGAAGAGGTAAGAAAGTTTGAGATTTTTAAAACTGATAGATTGCTTTGAATTAATTAATTAAGTAAGAATGAATACAAATTTTGAATTTCACATGAACCGAACCTGACAGATAAGAAGAATGCCTTAATATATTCCATTGTTTTCAATGCTTATGGTTCATGTGAAGTTTGACGTTTGACCTTGGCCTTTTTTTGACAAGDCAAATCCAACTAGTGGTCTATCATCAATGCTGCATTCTGATTTGATGAGCTACTACTAGGCTATAAGTTATAGCCTAGGATTAGCAAAAAGTGCCAGCTTTGAAAACCAAACATTGAATTTAACTTTAATTCAAATTGTTTGCATCTATATATTAGATCAACTAGTTGGATTTGACTAAAACAATTAGTCCTCTTGCCCTCATAGCCTATGAGTCAATAGCCATTCAGCCTTTGTCAAATCAGGCTCGAGGACTAATTGCTAAATAAATATTCAGCAGAGTACCAATAATCCAGGAGAAAGCTTACAAAATTAATATCCTCTTTTCTACAAACTAGCCCCACCTCAAAAAATAGGTCAAAAAATATTTCTACATTCTCTGACTTACTCTGCCTATCCAAGTTATAAAAAAATTGAGTAAGTTATTAGCCATTTCAAGGTTGAGGAAATAGCTGGGTCGAGCTGGTGTTCCATTGCATTGTGGGGCACTTTGAGGGGACATTTTTCCAAGATGGTGTCCATTTTTCTACTAAAACAGTCCCACTATACACTGTAATGCCAACTAAACTCAGTTTTTTTCAAGCTCTGAATGGCTAATAGATTTATTACATAAATTGTATTTKTAGGTCATTCGTCTCATGAACAAGGATAGTCATATCGTACTGTGTGGCCAGATATCACAGTACAACAAAGATCTTCCATATCCCCCACCCCTGTCCCCAGAAGTCCAAGAAATTGCAACCAAACAAAATGTCACACGCRAAAGATTTCTCATACTGAATTATCCTGAACAAATTCCTGGTGCATTGAAACAGTTGGTGACCTGGGTGCAAGAGGGGAAACTTAAGAGTCGAGAAACAGTTGAAGTTGGTCTGGAAAACACTGCGAAGGCTTTTGTTTCAATGATGATTGGAGGCAACATAGGAAAACAGGTTGTAAAAGTTGCAGAAGCTTGAAGCATTTGTTGTCAATAAAAGCATTAAACGCATGATTTTTTTATTATAACGACGAAGAAATCCGATCGAAAAGCTAAGCTTTTCTCATGAAATTTTTAATCAATATAGAAACATGAGATACGATTATTCACGTGAGAAAATTATTTAGATTAGAAAATCAAGTAAACTTCACCCATTGTATAATTCGTTGAACGAAAATAAAGCCAGAGAAAAATGGCCTATTTGTTGAATTGTGCTAAATAATGTACGCGAAGGAGGCGAAAACCAAGAAAAATTTACTGCACAARATTTTTGCCTTCGCGCGGCTTTTTTCCCTATATATAGACATTTCGAACAGTCTTTTTGCTGCTTTGAAGAAAGAATTTATAACTTGCTTTCTTTAAGAACTTACCTTTCTATTGGGTTGTTTTTTAGCTGCATAATATTTGGAATATTCTAGTTTTTTCAGTGCCATTTTAGGCAGCTTTTCTTCTCGTAACATCTTTGCAGTTCTGAATGAAACAAAGCTGCGCGCGTTTCCATGCAGTACCAGAAAAAGGCGGGAAAATAATACAAGCCATGTCATTGGTTAGATCAGATTCCTAGTTTCTTATACTATCTTTGATTGGCCAGGTTTGCCAATATTTAACCTGGAACAAGAAGCTCTGGCGGGAAAATGATACAAGCCATGTATCAATGGCTAAATGAAATATCTAGTTTCTCACACTATCTCTGATTGGCCAGGTCAACAAAGTTTTCTTGTTTGTTGCTATTTTGTTTGTGGGTGAGTGAGTGAGTGGGTATTTTTGTTTACCATATAAGTGTAGAACCATCAATTTTTCGATTCCCATATCCCAAGTTTAGAAAAGAGACTTTCATCATCAATCAATATTTAATCGGACCACATCGGTCTTCTGTCGGTTCTTTTCGCACCTGTTTGTTAAGAACGATATTTTGTTTAAATCAACCGTCTTAAAAAGCATGACTAAATAATAAATTAAATTCGTCAACGCGATTTATAATGTCCAATAAAACATTCCTTTTTGATAGCAATTAATATAWTGAAAATTTGTCTGCCAATGAAAAGGTTTTTTGAGAGCACTCTGTTTGCCATGGCAACCATATTTTTCAATATGCTTATGTTTGAAACTAGTTTGTTTTTAAGGTGTTTGTCTCATGAATTTAAGGAAGCAATTGAAATTTCCGTCTCGGTTGAAAATATTTTAGTGAAAGCTCAACGTCTCTGGTTTTGAAACTTTTCCGGCATATTTCTACTCTGGGCTTTCGAATTATTTTCGGGAAGAAAATGGAGAAAAAGGAAGAAAATAAGAAGGTGCCGATCTCAAAGGAGYGCTTGTTCTCACAACGTGAAAAGAAACTGGACAAGCTAAAAACTCTTAAAGCAGATGCCGAACACTTGAAGCAATCATTGACAGCTTTMAAAACGGAAGGCACAAAACACGACACTGCCAAACATGAGGCGCATAATGACGAGAAATTGTACGAACTTGTTATGGCAAGTGGGTTATCTGTCRACCACGACGTTGTGGAACATATTGTGGAGTTACTGAAACTAAACGTAAATCCTGACAGACTATTCGAYGTGCTAAAAGCTATAACAAAGACGGAAAAAGAATCTGAAATGRTTTCTGTTATATAAAAGAAAAATTTCAACATTAAGGTGGGAATTTGAGGATAGAGGGCAAATTCACAATATGATTTCAAAGGGAAATAACTGATGACTAATAAGTTAGCGGGTTTTTGGTTATAATTTTCAAGGCTATAGACGGTGCAAAATTTGATAAGGGAATAGGAAAACTTTTATCTTATARTTAAACAAATGCAGTTGAATTCAATTCCTTTGTAAATTTGATAAATGAATTATACAATAGATCTTTTTGATTTCGATTGAATTATGCTAAGATCTCCGGTTTGTTTGTCAGTTCATTTTTCATCTTATCTGAAAGCGAAAAATTAATCTTCGAAACCGTATTAAAAAAAAGAAATAAAATTATTGATTCATTAAAAATCGTTCAACCAAAAATGAATTTCACTTTCTTCTTCTCAACAATGACAATTTTAACTGCTTTTGTTACAAGACCAATAAAACTTTTTGATTGTTTTTTGAAAGGAACGGGTGGCAAAGGAGTATACTAATATAACAAAACTAGAAGCTTTTGGGATTTTCATCCTAATTCTGGTACATTAAGATACCAACGGAAATCTCGAGAAGCGAAAAAAATATTTAATAGACAGTCCATTCTTTTCAACATTCTTGATATTTTATGATTTGCAATGCGTTTTTTTTACCGGGTTTCTGTGTTTCATATAAGCGTTTTTGAAGGCACATTTCCTCGTCGTAATTGGTTTTGGCATAAATAAAGTAAACATAACATAAAACCAAGCCAAAGTGCAGCCAAAGTAGCATAGAAGGGCAAAATTTTCCGGGGGGGAGGTGGGTGGGTGGAGATATTTGTAATGTTTTCTTCATAATTTGGAAATTTCATTGAAAGTTTCAAGCAAGCCTTGTACTTCGTAAATATTGGGAATATAGTTTCATTTGCAATACACACAAAATTTGGCAAGAAAATTTGAAATTCGAGGCTGTGACTTACAAACTAATATTTGTTTTTGAAATTATCTTTAAACCCTTATTTATTTAAAGAGGAAGCAGGTCAAAACATGGATTTTTAGCACCTATACCAGTACCATAGTAACGTTAGTTTTAATTAACCCAGATTTTTTTAGTTTTTTCTTTTTACTTATTCTTTTATGAGAGGATTTGACAATTGTTTATTTTAACGTCCATTGAAAGAATTAAGATAATATTGAAACACTGACAACTAAAATTTAACGACTTGAAATCAAGATAATATTAAGAAACACTGAAAACTAAGAAATGCTTGATAATTCCAGGAAAAGAAGAAGAAAAAAACAACAAAAAACTCGAGCCACATTAAACGAAATGCACATGCGCAATTCCTCTCTTGATCAGAAATTGGTCACTWACTAAGAAATTGGTTTGAAATTAAAAGGATTATTATTTTATTAAGGAATTTAGGACCATACTTCCAGACATCGAGTGCTGAACCGTCGTATGGCAGCGCGAAGCATTTACGGCTACGCCGGAGATTTCGACCCCGACACCGCTATCCCTGGATTTACAGACTGATCAGGAAGCTCGGCCGAAGCCTAAGGGAGAGGTTAGTCGGCCCCTAGTCCGTGGATGATTAACCCCTTGCTATGACCAGCATACCCAATATGATCCTTTTTTCCTTGACCACTTATTATCCATAGACACTCCTTTCCATGTGGGATGCGTTTTTAAAGCTTATCGGGGAACTTGTTTGGAAATTTAGTGAAACATTTACAGCTATGCGCACGAGCGGAGATTTGGGCCCCGAAACGTACGCTATTTCTGGATTTATCAGGAAACATAATCTTAGCATAATCATAGATGCGCAAAGATAGTGCACAGAAAGAGTATGCTTGCATTGACAAATTGCAGTTTGCAAAGTCAACATTCTAAAAGTTCGGTACTTAGCAACGCTCGMTCTATCTTGAAGTTGCGCAAGCACTAACCGAGTTTCCCGATGTTTCCGGACACTTTTACCACCTTTGGAAACATTAAGGAAACATGTTTTCTCCTTAACCATGGCCTTATTCTTCCCTCACTCCTTCTACCACTATCATTTAGATCACGTCCGATTCTTTCATTCGTTTATTTATTCTCCTTCCTAGTTTTTTCTTTTTCTCGTCCCTTATTTGCACTTCATATAAGATAAAGATTTTTTTTCAGACAATATAACGTTTTCTTTTTTTTCTATTTCTTTTTTGCCGCTATTTTAATTATCAAAAAGAGCCAGAAAGACGACTGAAGGAAGACTGCTTCCGAGTATTTAAGTGGCTTTCTTCCTCTTTAACGACAACAATCTAAACACTGTTTTGTCTAGCCTCCAAGTTAAAAAAAAAAAAAAAAATCGAGTCTATATCTATAACTCTAGTGCAAGTGTACTCAAGTATTATTTTTTTATTTCATATTGGTTATATGAATATTTACTGATTTAATTTCAAATTATTAAATTTTAAGAAGAACAATTGTGGACAAAATTTGTATTTTAGTTTTCTTTCAATGTCAGCTTTTTTGTTTTAAACTTTTAATCGATTAAATAAAATATCGTTATAATAATTTAGAGTTCCTCTCGCTTTTCGTTGGTTTGATCCGTCAACTTGTCCTTGTCATTAGCTAAATTGGGCTCATTTTGGTCTTCAATCAAGTCTTCGATCTCCGCTGATAAGTTCTCAAGTTCRTCAACAACCTTTAAAAAACAAAGGAAGTAGTCATTGATCAATATTTATATTAGAATATTGGATCAATATTAATGTGAGAATTGAGTAAAAGACGCAATGATAAATTAGCCGTTCCGAATTTGAATTTCATTTCAATAAAAACGCTTTAAAGAATTTGGCCTTCATTATGCCATTCTCTACTTTCATATCCCAATAATACTTTCCGTCTTTTGGGGGTAACCAGAGGGTAAAAACCCACTTA